GAAAGTTCTTTAAAGATTTTTTTTTTAATTTCAATATATAACTATCTTTCTGGTTTTCAGTATAATTTGAAAATATCAATTATCGAAATACCTTCGGCTTTCATACGTCATTATCAAAAAGTTTTCTGTATTTTGTAATAATACTTTTTATTTATTTATTTATTTTTTTGACACGTCACTTTCAGGCCTATATTTTTATACTGTTGTTCACCCAATACAAGGCCCAAGAGCCACTCAAGGTAGTGTATTATTGAATGTGGTTGTACAAGAGGTTTAACATACATTTTTTTTTTTTTTTTTTTTTTTTTTTTGGCTTTTCAACCTTTTGTGGGTTATTTAAAGTGATTGTAAGAAGAATTCTTTTGGTGAGGAAATATTGCATTAACTATTTTTTGACAATAACAGATTTTTCCAGATACAAGTCCAACTATTTAACCTGGGTAGAGGAGATGGATTCATTCCTTTCCCAAGGGTATTTGCACCTAGGTCAATGTAATAATGAAACCAACAGGAGAGATGCTACTTTAACTGTGACAATACTACTGAGCCAGACAGGTTAAGTAGTGAGCATTTACTTGTTTATCATCAGGATGTTAATCAACTTTTGGGATCAAAGTTTGTTGAATTGATTTGAAAGGATTAAAAAAATTTAAAAAAATACCTTTCGTCCTTCTTCTTAATTAAGGAACTCCACTGAATTTTCGATACCTAAAGCTTAAAATTAATTTTTAAAAATGAAAAAGCATTCTTGAAGATTTCATTTTAGCTTTAATTGAAAGCTAAATGTTTAAATTTACTATTTCAAGTAATTAAAATATTCCGGTGTATTTTAAATAAAAATTATATAGATTGTAATCTCAACTTTTCAGCCGATTTCAGAAAATTTTTTTAAAAGCGGCCATTGTCTTAATTTTAAGAAATTTGTAAACCACAAAAATATTGAGTTTTAAAATCTTCCAGAAATAAAATATATACATGTGACACATTAATTGTGTAAAATTAGAAAATTTAAAGTTAAATTAATCTGATTTGAAATAAATATTACTTATAGCATAAAAATCTAGTATACAAGCATTTCTTAACAATGGGTCCTCTTTTGATCATGTCTTTATTGATATTATTGACATCACCAATAAATTATGAGGTGATGACAGCTAGTATGGATGACCAGAATTGACATAAATTTATAAAATCTAAATGAACACATTTTTTGATTTTTAACTACCTAGTAATTTTTACAGATTTAATATAATATTTTCAGGAATTATCTAATATTTTATTGACTTTTAGTTATGTTGGAAGATACTTTATGAAAAAATGATAAAATTTAAAATAATATAAAATTTTTTTTACCAAAGAGTGAAGATAATTAAAATAAAAGTGGTGTTATGGGGAAAAACCTTTTCTTTTGAAACTATATCTTATTGTAGGCATGAACATCTATGTTTGCCTTTCAAATTTATGGCTAGAATCTTGCAAACAGAATTTGTTTGTGTCTTCAGATTAAGAAGCAAAAATTTGATTATAAAAAAGAAAATGTTAGCCTTTTTTCCTCTAAAATTTTATAAAAATGTGTTAATATTTTTGTGTTTTTTTGCTTGTTTAGTATTTTTTCTTTCATTTCCAGACAGAAATTATATGATGAATATTGCTACCAAGTGAACAATATTCTACAGCAGTGGGAGAACGACCTGAGCAAAAGCAAGGAACAAGAAGAAAAATTCTTAGTGAGAAAATTACCACTTCACAGTTTCATTATGTCTGCTAAAAACATCAGTTATAATTTTTTTTTTTTTTTTAAACCATTTCACCATATATATTTAATTAGGTACCTTCATGAGATTGCTAAAAAAAGAGCATGGTATGATGAAAAAGATGCCAGACTTGATGAAAACAAAATATTATCATCTAAATGTTTGTTATTATTAAGAGGAAAGACCAAAGTATTTTTTAATTATTTTTAAAAAATTTTCTTTCTTTTTAGAACATTCTAAATTTTGATTAAAAAAAAACTTGTTTCTGTTTGTATCACCGGAACTAGTAAAATAACATACAATTTTTAGCACGTTTTTTTTCTTGACAGATATTAATTTGGAAAATTTTGCAAAAATAAAAATAATTGTCAGATGTTAATGAAACTTTCAGAAACTATTCACAGATGATGGAAATTATTATGAATATGTTTTTTTTTTATTAAAGTCATGGGAGAAATATTTTTTTATATTTATTACACCCCCCAACTAATTTTATGAAAACTATAAATTCAATAGCATTCAGTTTAGTGATTATATTAATTAAAAGCACAATTCTTTGAAGAAAGCAAATCATGTATTTTTTTTAATTGGACCCCCCTACCTGAAAATCAGCTCAGAATTGTAACATACAAAACTCAATTAAAAATGATATTATTTAATTTCAAATAATTTTATTTGCTTTTAGTTGTTTTTATGAATATGGACGATATTTTCTGAAAGCAAAAAAAATTTTTTCAATGAGAAATGAATTTTTAATACAATTATTTGTTATTTTAGATTTTTACATTTAACTTGTTAAAATATAAAATTAGTTGAAAGCTGCATACAGTTTCATGAATGTCCTTATGAGACATCTTTTTTTACTGCATTGTAAATTGTATTGCTTTGACCAATCAGTGGACCCGCAGTAATTAAGAAATGTAATTTTGTGTTCATAAAAAACAGCTGTAATTATAAAATGGAAGACCAGCAAAAGAATACAATTAAGTCACGTTATTTGAGTTAAACATCACATGGCACTGTCCTTTTATTTTATTTTTTTGAAAAACATGTGGAGAAGTTAATTTGATTTTTTAACTTCAACTTAGAAGAGTACCTACACGTATTTAGTATCATCTTATGAAATTGATATGATCTTATTTTTTATTTTTATATTAATCTCAGTTATGGCATTTTTTCCATAAATGAAATATCAAAATTAATAATAAAATGAATGGAAATACAAATAACAGTAAAATTTAATAAATGTACATAAAATTATAGTATTTTATGTACACTTCTGATAAAATTTCATAAGAAAGGTACCTATAAATCAATTAGATACCTTATGAAATTTAATCTCACTCTCAACAGTCTTATTTTAATTTTTTTTATAATATATTTTTCATAAAGCATCGGAAACAAAGTTGAAAGCTAAGTATAAACAAAAATTAAAACGCTGAAAGTTTTTCTTAAAAATAATGAGGTAAATAATTTGTTCACTTAAATCTAAATAATTATGTCACTTCTGTCATTCCGTACAATAACTTTTCCTCACGTAAGCTGTCAATATGTGATGAAATCATCACTCATCACCTGTCAAGTGGCGCAAAAGGTTATGATCTACTTTGTTTTATTTTTTAAACTACTACTTTTTGGTGCAGAAACTAACTAATGCTAGTTTCAAAATATTTTAAATAAACATTATAGTTCCTAATTTTCTTAAAATTAGTTATGAAAAAATTATAATTGATTTTTAAAAGAATTTGAAACTGAGATTTTTTTTTTTTTTATAAAATGGAAAAAATGATCGACATGATTGATTATCTGTCAATTTTGCTGCCTTAAAAAAAAAGGATTTTTAACGAAAATTTTGGACATGGGAACGATTAAAAAATGTAAAAAAATATGCCCAAAATACTTTGATCTTTCCTCTTAATAATAACATAAACATTTAGACGCTAAAATTTTGTTTTCGTCAAGTCTGGCGTATTTTTGATGATGCTATGCTCTTTTTTTTTTAGCAATCTCATGGAGGTACCTATATATAATGACTGTGAACAAAGTACTTGTACAACCTGTATACCATTCTCCAGACCTCAGCTTGCATAATCCAGTGGCAAGATGACTGGTTGCCATCTAAGGCTGAAGAGCCCATTCTCCACTCCTCAGTGAGAAGAGATGGATTCATACCTTTTCCCAAAAGTATTTGCATGAAAGTAAATGTAATGAATATGCCTTCTTAATTTATATAAGCAATATTAGCTGATTTAAAGTTTAATCTGATTTGAAACAAATGTAGCTGTTTTGATTTATTTCATAACAGGTGTCATGTTGTTCTATAGAGACTTTATCTGTAAAACATAATTTAAGAAAATTATTTGAGTACCTTTTTTTTATATATATATATATAAAAGTATTCAGTAATCTTAAAAATTTAGGAAAATATTCTCCATAATCTAATGTCTTAATAAATTTTAGAAATGTTGATTTTAAATTTACTATAGTTATTGCTCTTAATATCATTTAAAAGGCTGAAATTTATACAGAATTTTAAGATTTAAGACTTAATAAATTTTTTAATTAAAATTTAAAAAAATGAAAACAATTCTTGTAAAAATTCATTATTGATTAAAAAAACAATTTTTTTCTTAATATATCTTATTTATAAAAGCAATTAAAAGCTTATAATAATAAACATCATATTTTTATTGCATTTTTAATTTTACAATTCAGAGCAGGTTTTTGGCAAATGGTGTTTGTGTTTGAAATTGAGGATTTCAATTCTCCAAGGAGTCCTGCTTTTAACTAATATAAATATTAAGACACTAAAATTTTAATTTATTGAAATTTCATTAAATTATGTCAGTGGGGATAACATTTTTTAAAAAAATAAAAAAAGAGAGAAAATAAAATATATATTTTTATCAAGATTTTCTAAACAAAAAAAATTTTTTAAATAATTTAATTTATTTGTGAATAATTCCGGAAAGTCTCATTAAAATTCAACAATTTGATTTTTGCAAGAATTTTCAAAACAATGTTTTTTTTTTTTTTTGTTTTTTTTTTACAGCAAAAAAGACACTAAATTTACCATATCAATCTTTGACTCAGCCACTAAGAAAAACAAGATTTTTAACCAAACATGCTAAAAATGATTAAAAAATATCAAGAAATACTTTGGTCTTTCCTCTTAATAATAAAAACCATTTTGACAATAAAACTTTATTTTTATCAAGTTTCAGGGCTTTTTTCATCATGGTATATTCTTTTTTAAAAGTTTTGGAGGTATACACACACACACACACACACTATTATATATATATATATTGAACATTTAAATTACTATCAAACATTAAAATGTATTTTTTTTTAGAAATTGAATCATCAGAATAAAAATATAAAAAGAATCTTCTTCCTACATAAAACATAATTACAGCTTTTTCTTTCTCTTTGAATGTACCCCTTCTTTTTTTTTGAGTTTTCTGAGATATTCTCCCTCCCATTTCAATATATCACTTCCGTTAAGTTAACCGTCTAAATAGGTCAAGGTCTGGCCCTCCTCCCCATTACTAAGTATGATTGAAAGAAATATTAAAATAACACCTCTCTAAACTCAACCATGTCTCTCCCACCACTCCTGCCTATCCTCTGTTAAATTACATAAACTTGATACTACCCGTCAAAAGTATGAATTTTCATTTCATCTTTCATTTAATTTTTGAAATTGTTATCTGATGATCCATCTTTATTTACAAAAAGGGCTATTGGTGAAATAAATTAAATTGGTCTTTGAATTTTTTTTATATATATATATATATATATATTATATATACACACACATTTGGTGTTGGTATGTAAAATGCTGATTTTTGATGTAGATATTTTCAACTTTTGTACATGGTGCTATACAATCTTTCTATCGTACTTATATTCAGGACACTTCTAAAAATAAATAAAGATGTACAACAGCTATTTATAAAGCTGCACAGTGGCTGAGATGTCAATGAATTTGGGTTTTGTATTGTTTCTGTCTTTGTTCTCAAAAAGGACAGGACTTTTGAGTGCTGATTTTCAAGGCATCATCTTGAAGGTTTGGATCTCTAATACATGTATATCTGTCTCTCTAAGACTCCATGTGGGAAAGATGTTTGTATTGTTCGGCTTGTTAGTCTTCATTGTTGTCTCTTCTTTTTCTGTCCTTGTAGATCATATTCCGGCAACAGCAGAAACTGGTCCAGCAAAACCTAATAATTCAGCAACAGAGAATGAAGACTTTGCGAGATTTGCAAGAGCATTTCAATAAGGCAAGTTACTTGTTTGCAATTCCTCAGAATTAATTTATAAAAGCAATCAGTGCTTGCATTGTTTGGTCAACCATGACAGATCAAAATCAAATTGCAAAAGGTGTAATTGTTGTGTAACTTTGCTGGTTAAGAATTTTCTTGCAGGCATGTATGCCATTCAGAAGACTAGCTCTTATTTGGTGGAATAGATTCAAATGCAGAAAGGTTTTTTGAGACCTTATTCCATGTAAAGTAAATCCAGATTTAACAATAACAAACCAAACATTTATTATCTATTTATTTATTGCTAAGAGATTTTTTTTTTTTTCTTTTCTTGGTTGTTACCTCTAAAGAATTCCATTATGGATGAAAAAAGCTGCTGCAATTCTTGTTTAGTAGGAAATTCAAGGGAGATAACTCAAAAGGTTGATTCTGATTCATTGTGTGTGATGAGAACTAAGACCCAGAAGGGCTTTTGAAAGGTTGAATGATTTTGTTTTTGGTGGGGGAGACATTATTTTGGACTGGCAGATTAGAAATGACCTGTTCCCTTCAGTCATCTATTTAAGCCTTCATTCATTTTGATCCTCTTGGGCAAGTCAAGACTCTCAATTCATAACTAACTAGGCAGAAGATTTTCCCACAGTAAGTTTGTTTATTTCTGTGATAGACTGGTTGCCAGCCAAGGCTGTAGGACCTAGTTTGTCCTGCTGTTTAACTCATAGCTATGGGTGGGATAAGAGGTAGGCATCACAGGACAGATTTCCCTGATAGTAGGAAAGGTATTATGTAACAAAAGAAAATTAGAATTTGAACTATCCATTACACCAAGCATGTCAAACTCAGGGCATATGGAGGGCCACATCAGCCATATCTGCAGCCTCGAGAGCCACACCTGCTTACAGTCTTACATTAATCACAGCTAGTAGTAACTAAACTTTATGTTGTCCTGATGATTGATATTGCTTTAGACAAACTATACTCGATATATCCGGTTGGAATGTCTGTGTAGATTCCACTTTGATCAAAGATGACAAATGTTCATCAGTTAATCTGGTTTTGGGAGACGTTTTTGTGGCCTTCATAAACGAAAATAACTGCTCACAGACATGTGGGACCAAACATCGCCATAATCTTTGTGGTAAATTTTCTGAAGTTCTTAAATGTCTGAGGAAGGTATGAAAAAAATCTGAGTATCCCTACTTTTAGGTACTTACCCTTGAGTGTTGAGTCAGTCTGCATTTCCAGTAGTTCTATCTGTAGACTTTCCTCTGCCAGAGCAACATCATAAGTGAATGGTGCTGAGAATAATACAAACTGATCTTCACAAAATCTTCATTGAAATTCCTTTGACAGCAATTCCAGGTAATTGTCATACTTAGCAAAGATAAATACAGACTCAGTATTGGCAGTTTTTTTCCAACTCCTTGCACAAAGGAAAATGAATCAAGTTTTCATCTGACAACTGGGACTTCATTAAAGCTAATTTTGCAATGAAATACTTGATATCATCATATAACTGAGTGATGAGCTTATTTTTACCTTGTAATATCAAATTAAGGTCACTTAATTGGGTAGTAATATCCACTGAAAAAGCTAGATCTTGGAGCCAGCTTTCAATTCATCTGTGCTTTGACCCTTCATCTCCAAAAACAATTTTGTGTGGCAATAAAAAAAAAATCTTTTCAGTACCTTGTGACATGAAAGCCACCAAACTTGTATGTAGAATGGGACATTTGTGAACTTATTATTCACGTTTTCCAAAAATGGTGAGCTGTGCTATTCCAGCTATGTCAACCGTCTCATCCAGAGCAATAGAAAAATGTTCAAAACTTGATGAACAACTGTCGACTCAAATCATCTGCCATTTCATCAATCCATTCAGCAACAGTGTTCCTGCTTAATGAAATGTCTTGAAATAAGTGTGACTTCTGGACATACAATTTCAGCTGTTTTTACAAGACATAAAAGAGCTCAAAGCTTGCAATAACAGAATTAACACTGCCTTTCTGAATTTTTGTAAAGCAACACTGTTGCTGTATTAACCTTGAATTCCTTCACTTTTGAAACACACATATCTCCTTCATATTATATTCTTTTAGCGTCACAATGCAGTGATAGCAAATCAGTTTATCTTTCCATTAGCAGTGGTACAAAAGTACTGTATTTCGCACTTTTCTTGAAACATGTCCTTCAGATAATTTTCTCTTTTTACAAGATGGAGTAGAATTCAACATTTTTAAGACTTTTAAGAATATTACAAAATTATGAACGTTTTCACTTTAGACTTGTTCTTATTTAGTTGTCAAGGATGATCGTATGATTAACCGGAAGTTAAAAATAGTCACTGATATTCGAAAACAAAAAATCATTGAGATAAAATAAACAATCTAATCATACAGAAATGAAAAACAAGAATCTCACTGTTTTTAATAATTTGCATTGCCAACATAGACAAAATTCTCGATATACTATAGCTATAAAAAACTTTGTGAGGGCCACCAAGATACATATAAAAGGCCACATGTGGCCTGCAAACTGCCAGTTTGACATACCTGCATTACAGCACATGATTGATCAATTCATTTTTTTTATTTTTTTTGGCAGGGTTTAAAGGATTTGGAAAAATGTCATCAGGAGCAGCAGACGCATGTTCAGTCAGAACTCCGAAAAGAAATGGCTTTGTTGCAAAAGAAAATCTTGATGGACACTGTAAGTATTTTGTGTAAACAATATTTTCTTGTGTGGAGACTGAAAATCTCTCAAGTTTTAAACATCAACTGGTTTTAGTTTGTGTGTGTTTTTTTTTTTTTTTTTTTATCAAAAAGATCATTTTAAAGAATTGCCTAACATTAAGCATAATTTGGCTTACAGCAATATCTCATTTGGTCAGCATCTTGATGGGTGACCATTGGGAATAAGCAGGTAGTGTCATGGATAATTGCTTGGAATTTTTAATAGGAAAGCAAAATTCCAATTCCAATCAGGTTTGTTATTCTCATTTACCTGCAAATATCTTTGGGAAAGGTATGAATTCACCAGTTCTTCCCCTTAGCTATGGATTAATTAGTAAGACCTGTATCAGTAAATCATTATTAATCTTTATCATATAAAGAAATATTTTCTAGTTTTAACCTGACAAGCTATAGTAAACAAATCAATCAATAATTTTTTTTTTCTTGATCAAAAGATCATTTTAAAAGATTGCCCAACATTAAACATATATCTCATCTGATTACCAAAGTTAAGCAAAGTGAAGCCTGGTCAGTACCTAGGTGGGTGACCACTTGGGAATACCTGATGCTGTAAGTATGTATGCGCAGGTGGTGCCATGGATAATGGCTTGGATTGAGAAATCAAAGCCAAGGTGTGTTCCAAGTGTTCACCGACATACAAGTGATCACGAATCAAAAATAATATGTTCGCCCCCTACCAACATGTACAGTAGGGTCCTTCATGGCACATTCTTCTCCATGAATCTGGCGAAGGACTAGATCCAAATAAAGAAATTTTACAGGCTGATTAAAAAACAAGAGCTAATCTTTGATTCTAAGTAAATAATTGCCAACAATCTTTCAAAGATGCAAGTGGAGATGATCGTACTTCTTGAAACTAATGTTTTTTTTTATATAAAAGACGACTCTTTTCCTTTGAACTTAGTTACACTATCAACTAAAAACGTCTTACCTGTTTTGGGCTTGGTAGCTAATTACTGACTTTTATAGACCAAAAAATTTAATCTTATTGATGTTTTAGGGTTTGTTAAGTCTCTAAAATCTTGACAACTGGCCATTAAAACTGTGCCATGATTTCTTTCCAGCAACAAAAAGAGATGGCAAATGTCCGCAAATCCTTGCAGTCCATGCTGTATTGAAGAAGCCCAAGAAATTTCATTCATGCAGGATTCATTTTTTCTGTGTTTTGTTCTTTCCAGTTTTGTTAGTTTGTTTAATCAATGAATTTTAAATAAAGTTTTCATTAATTGAAATCCCCAAATCCTGCAAGGTTCTATTCTTTGAGGAATGGGGGTAGAGAGAAAGAAAAAAAAAAAATATCAGTCAAACTTAGGGTTAAGCAATATTTGGATTGATAAAAAAAAAAAGCTGCCATTTTAATGTTTGATATTCAATAATACAGCTCCCCCCCCCAATTTTTTGGGGGAGACATTTTGAAAGAACAAATGATAGAATCTCCTCCTTGGACTTTGTATTGCCTGAAACAAGAAACTTTTCTCAAGTCTTAAAATACATGCCTCAGCAGGAAGCCTAGAGACACAGATGCATTCACAAAAGATCTGTGTAAAAAGACTTATTTTTCTTCTTCGAAATAATGGTAAAATCCATTGGTATTTAATATCTGCAGGAAGCAGACAACCGTGGAATGCTATTGTCTTTCCAAAAAGTGCATAACAGTGATGGATTTTAAAATTAATGTAGCCCTGTCTCTATAACTAAATTCTCTCTCATATACACAAGAATTTGAACACTACAATTCTCTGTCTCCATGGTTTGTGTTTCTATTTAATCTCTTAAAAGAGCAGACTCAGTCCTTTTGAGACAAAGAGAATCAATTAAAATGAATAACACCCTAAAAAGGTGGACGCTACACCTTTAACTCTTATTGGAGCCCAACTAAGAGTAAGAATGTCTGATGTAAAGTGAGTGAGAGAGAGAAAAAAAGAAAACCAAAAACTGCAACAGTCATTAGGAAAATTGAGTTTTGATGTTGAGCTGCAGTTTTCACAAGTGTCTCATTAACTATGGAAAAAAAAATTTGTCATTTGTAGTCGAGCCATTCAATTACTGATAAAACTTCCTATCGTCTACAGAATTAAGGATAAACAAGAATTTACAGTTAACAGTGACCAACATTATCCTTAAAATCTTTCTGCCAGGAAGTTTTGAACTGAATCAAGTTTAAAAGAAGGGAAAATGACACGTCATCAAAATCAAGAACATCTTTTTAAATAGAATTGATGGGCAAAGTTTGCATTATGTTACTGAACGTGCGAGATGAAGGAAGAAGAAAAATACTGTTTTTAATTTCAAGTATTTTATTTCTTAGACCACTTTCCACGCCACGAGAAAACAATTTTTTACAAAGAGAATGCATTTAAATAAGGTAACAAGACATTTATACCCCACCAATACACAATTTTATAAACACCTATAACAACAAACGGGATTTATCGGCCACCTCCTCCACCTCCGCCACCACCCCCACCTCCTCCTGCAGCAGCTTGGGGATCAGCATTTGAGGCCAACATTAGCAGAATAACTGACGGCACAATGTACATCCACTGCAAAAGAAAAAAAAATTATTTAAGTGATGCATTATGGGAAATTTATCGGAGAGACATGGTCTTCAGACAGATGAAACCCTTTGAGCAGTTGATGGTATTAACTTAAAAATACATTCTTTAACCTTTTGTCAGTTGTGTAAGAAAATAAGGAATCCAATCAGAGCTTTGGTTTGGGGTGGGGGAGGGTGACAGAAAGATATATCAAATAAATTGGTTTGTTTCTGTAGTGACAAGGATGAACAAAACTACACTGCCAATTGTGTTTACCAACAATTTTAAGGAGGGCTTTTGTAGAGTAATTGGCCATGGTTAAATGTAATTTGGCAAAAATGGCCAACAAACAGAATTGATAAAGTTTACAATCCCAAAAGAAAGAAAAGAACAGGATGAATATAATATTAAGCAACCGATATATGCAAGACAAAGCCAGCAAAGCAACAGTAATGAGGCAAAAAAGTTCACAAAATAAGAATGATGTTAATGCCCAAAAGGGATACAGACAAGTGATTGTCGCATTCTGACTTCAAGACAAGAAAGAACAGAAATATGGGAGATGTGATCGTGATGTACTCTATTGTATTGGCTAGGAAAAACTCCCAGCATGAATTTGGGGAGGAGGAAAGTTTTTGCAGCCATTCCTCACAGGATTGGAACCCACAAAAGGGTTCATCTGAGAACTTTTCAGCATCCCTTTGTACAAAGTCTGCAAGACCTCCCTTGCAAAGGAAATGTCATAATCTGTATTACTCCATTTTCTGTCCCTAGTGAACAAGGCTGAAATATTCTGCCTCTTTCAATTTCTTTACTTCCTGCTAATTAATGGTACCTCATCTTCTTCACAGAAGCCCTTCTATTTTCAAATCACACAATGAAGAAAAATAGTTGGAATCAGAATTATTCAGTGACAGATACAAACCCTGTAATTTACAAATGCTTTTGTTTCATTCAATCACTCTTTGAAATAAAATCTTTTATTTAAAATTCAAAAAAGAAAAAACAAACTGAATATAGATTTTTTTTTTTGAATCTTGCAAGGAATTGCTTTGCCACAAATTAGGAGATGAGATTGATGTAGATTTCCATCTATCAAACAGTGAAACAGCTATGTAGGTTTTATCAGTAAATTTGGTCCGGTTGTCTGTTAAATTGAAAACAAGACCCCCAGAACTCCCCCAGCCAAGGGTTCAACCAGTTTCTCCGTCCATTTCGGCTCAGATGAAATATTTATTAACCTTTCTTCAACAAGACACCAACTGCAAATGTCTCTGTTTTTTAAACTCAAAAACATTAGTGAAATCTTTTTATGACAGCAGTTATTTCTGCACAAATGAGACCCCCCCCACAATCAGACATACTTACATATTTGGCAAAAAAGGATCTGTTGTCTCCTTGTTGTCCCTTTTGTTTGTCATGCTCCTCACGTTTCAGTTTATCAATATACAGCTGTGTCTCAGGCCTGAAAGAAAATACCCAGTGACATTGAGGAGGGAGAGCATCAGCACAATGATGAAGAGTGAGAGGGGAAAGAGAAGTGGGTGTGAGGGGGAAAAAGAAGAGAGAGAAAAAAAATGATGATTCTGGTTCAAACCTTTCAGTTGAGTCAATTTAGAAGGGCTTGCCAATCTGCACCAAATTTTAAAGATGCACCCAACATGGCCAAATCTCAAAAGGCTGAACCTGATTAATCGAGATTCGCTAAAAGCAAAAATTAATTTTTAATTTATAATCTATCAGGTCATCCCATAAGTTCTGTCCGAATTTTGAATAAAGAAAATAAGTGACCAAATGTTACATTTAATTACAGATTCAATCAACAATGTATTTTCCCTGATTATCTATGACTTCCTTCCATCTATTAACAAGCTTACTAATTCCAATACTGTAAAATTCTTTTGGCTTTAATTCGAAGAACTCATAAATGTCAGTTTTAACATCTTCCTTTGTTACAAAAGCTGTTTCTTCCAAATGATTCTGTAAGCTACGAAACAAATGGTAGTCTGAAGGAGCAAGATCGGGAGAATAAGGTGGATAAGGAATTTTCACCCAACCAAGTTCTTCAATCTTTTGTGACGTGATTCTTGCTGTGTGTGGTCGCGCATTGTACTGATGAAACATCGCCTCTTTTCGATTCACTAGAGCAGGTCTTTTTTTTGCTCAAAGCTTGGTTGAAACGCTCTAATTGCTGACAGTATATTTGAGCATTAATTGTTGCATTAGGTGGTAAGAATTTAAAGTGGATTATTCCTTGGCAATCCCACCAGATTGAAACATGAACGTTTTGCCCATGAACTTCCCTTCTCGGCTGTGGCTGGGGTCCTTCCCTTTACCAAGCCACTGTCTACGACGCTTAACATTTCGATAAAAGATCCATTTTTCGTCGCCAGTCACAAGTCTATCCAAAAAAAGGTGAAACAAGTTGGTGAGAATGAAGAGAAGTCAAGCAGAGGTTGTTTTCAGACAATTCATGAGGCACCCATTTTGAGTTTGAACTTTTTCAAGTTGTTGAAGATGACGATGAGGCACCCATTTTCTTAAGTTCCAAGAAGGAACTTTTCCAAGTTGTTGAAGATGAAGGATGAACAGTTGAATGGTTTGAACCATCTTCTGCAAGTTCTTTCATTCACACATTCCTCTCCATAAACTGAGTGAATGTTTCTAGCCGCTTCGGCTGCTGAGTTTCCTTTCTTGAACTCATAAAGCATTATGTGCCTCAAATGATTCTTGGGTACTTCCATGTTAGCAGGGTTTTAATCAAACAAAATTTAATTTTATTGTTCTCTGAAATAAAATTTAATCAGTTTAAATGCATCTAAACATAAAAATAATGTTCAACTCCATTAAACATTATAAAATATGCTTTAAATTTCGTTCATTTTAACAAGTTAAAATTCGGACAGAACTTATGGGATGACTGATATTTATATAGCAAACTCACTCCCCACCTTTAACATTGTGACACTATTTAGCTATAGTAATTGGCTAACTAATTAAGCATAGAAATTAAAACGAGAAATACTTAAGGCGAGAAAGAGTTATAACGAAAGACAGAACTGAGCAATATTCTTTTTAACAAAAAAAAAAAAAAATGAATAAGAAAAGATTTTATTTCATTTACGAACAAAGATACTTTTTCGCAGAAGACAGAAGAAAACCAGATTTCGGATTCTGTCAGAATTAATTAATGTCATGATCAGATAGTGACGTGGCAAGGAAAACAGAATTCTAAAAGACAAACAAAGCCGGGCACGCATGCGACCGTGGAGGAATTTCAATGAGACCACCCTAAAAAAAATAGCCACTAATTATCTTTCAGAAATATCATTTAGTTTTGGTTCTTGTGTCCAGCAAGGAGACCCATCGGTTGTATGTCTGGATCTTGACACAAGAAAAATAAAGAATTTGATTATCAAATAAAAACGACCACCCAGTTTAAAAGTTGACTAGCAGTGATTAATGAATCAGTGGAAATTCTGCTAAGTGGATTTTGGGTGGCTCAAGATAAGATAAAATTTTAATTATGGCCACGTGGAATTCATAAGAATTCTGGCTGATAGGAAAGGAAAGAAAAAAAAATTTTTTTTTCTGGATGATAATTTTAAGAAGGCCAGGTCTAGCCACACCCACGCTGCCGAACGATCATTGAGTGGTGGCGTGAGTGATAGGCGAAGGTGAATGTATGAGAAAGGCGGGGAAGTTGTTGACACCCACTAAGGATTGGTATGAGATACCAATATGAGAAAGGAAGAGTCTAAGAGGATAATTCTCCTCTGACCTCTCCTCATGGACGAGGGAGAAAACCCTCGAAAGGGAAAGTGATTAGCTTCCAAAAATGGGAAGTAATAAATTTTCCTGTCCTAGGGACAAAGAAAATTTTTGTTGGGAATTGAGAATTATCAAAGAACCCAACCCGGTTTTGGTCAGTGTCCACATAAACGAACATCCCCGGACATTCGGAGAGTTGAGTTGGGTTGGAGATCGGAGACGCAGACACAGAGAGCCGTTGGGCTTGGAGAATAGCGCCTCGCAGGAGCTGACTGAGATTTCCACGTCCTTTTCGACTTGGTCTTCCTACCAAAAGCAAGTTTTTATTGACGAACGACTTAAGATACCATAACTCGCTTAAGAAATGCAAAAAGTGTCACAAATCCATAAAAACGGGCCGAGAGAGAAACACACTCCTGTATTCAACAGATAGATAAAGTTAATTGTTATTTCTCAACATATTTGAACCTCGTGAGTTTGTTTTATTATTTTCTTTTACTTAAGCTTGTGCGGTATCACCTTTACCCCGGATTCTGCTTGCACTACGGCCAGAAGCCTGATTTCGTCTACCTAAGATCAAAGTCACAATATGGGTAGGTTAGACTTGAGATCAAAGCAATTGCTTCCGTGGGCAAGTGTTGGAGGCGAGCTGAGAACGACAAAGCTGGTATCAAACCGGAAACGACCAGATCGACTGGGACACCGGCTGGTGGCAGTGACAAGGAGTCAACCCCAAAACACTGGTGGAAGAAACCTTATGGCTTCACGCCGCAACTGGGAGTTGACCACGGGCCAACGGCACAGTGTCATATATTGACGTTGCGACCAGTGGATATCCCATATTGGTGCTGGCACTGTGACCGCCGGTGGGTGTCACACTTTTATAAAAGTAAAAAAAAAATCATTTGCGATCTGCATAGTAACTATAGTAATATGGAAAAAAAAAATTCTTTTTTTTTAATTTTGCTTATCTTTGTACACAACTGTCATGATCAATAAGAGATATAGCAGCCTTTGTTTTCAATGGCATATTGTTCAAACAAACCATAAGACAATGAATATTTAAGATAAATAAAATTGACAAGCAATACAGGACAAAAGGATGGATAATTGCATATGTACACATTTCTACATGCAGATATACATTTTTATAAACATATCTACAAATCTATACAAGTTTTTCTCATATAAGCAAGTGAGAGAAAGAGACATCAACAACAATAACACAGGGAAAGTGTGAGTCATGCCTTCAGGATGAACGTGAATACGCAGCTCACAGAGAATCTAAAGACTTTTCAATACTTGCACAGGGCCTGGGACAGTCTGTATAATCTCCACAGTTGTATTCCAAGAAGAAATAGCCTCGTCGGGCATAGTGTTGCCTGTACACTGCCCTGTACTGGTTGACAGTGACACGCTAATTACTTCTCCAGACGGGTCAACATTCAAGGTGATGTGGTCCGATAATCCAGACTCATAAAGTTGGCACTGGAAAAGGGGAAGAAAAAAAAAAAAAAAAAAAAAAAAAATTGCAAGAATAAATAAATAAGATAAAAAAAAAAAAAAAAAAAAAACTAGTGACAGAGTTATGGAGTTTCTTGTCACTTGTGTGTGTGTGTGTTAAAGATCAAATATGTACTGGAATCTGACAGGATGATAAAATAAAGAACAAATAAGAAACATATCAATCTAACATTTAAAATTTTCTCTTGAGCTCTGACGAAGCTTTAATAAAAATCAAACATGTTTGATTGATATACATTTCCTATTTGTTCTTTATTTTATTATATGTATGTATGTATATGTGCGTATACTTGCTTTTTTTTTTTTTTTATATCTATATTCAGATGTGAATATTTATATTTTATTTCTACCTCTAGAACTTAAAGTAAGTAATTTGAGTGGATGCATGTTTTTTTTTTTTTGTTTTTTTTTTTATTTATTTTCAAAACTGTAATGAGTTGGTCGGTCCTTTTGACTGGGTATCCCCCAAAATGAGTTGGGGTGAGCAACTCACACAGGAACTGTGATTGGTAGCTGGCTTGTTGGTGTTTTGCATAGGTGAGTTACCAAGCTCTATATGAAAGGCTGGAATGAGAAGGAGGGTAGTTTTCAGTCTCAGAAGTGGAGACTGTGTCCGCCGCTACAACAGCAGGAGAGAAAGAGACGAAATCATTTTTTTTTCGTGACACATTCCAACACATGGATGCATGTTTTTTTTTTTAAATTTATTTTCAAAACAAAATTAAAAAAAAAAAATACACCTATAAGATATGGACGGTCCCTTCATTGCGATAACCCAATATATTAAACAAAATTTAAATTATGTAAAGCCCAGTTGCAATTCAGCACCTGAAGATTACGTTTTGCATGAAATTCAGAGTTGTGCTACTGGTGAGGAAAAAAAAATGTATATTTATTAACATATAGTTTATAGCCTTGTTATATTACATCAGGCACAATTTTATTAACACCAGCACTCAATGTGTGATGTTTTATATATATATATATATATATATATATATATATATATATAGGAATGTTTTAGTTATCTTGAATGATATAGATTTCAAATATGAAATATATATATTTAGAATCAATCTGAGAGCTTAATTCAATTAACGTCAATAATCAGCTAATTGATATCTCAATTTTCATTGAATACTGCCAAAACTGTCTTCAGAATGCATCTAATACACTGATGTGTCTCATATTCCCAAAAATACAGTATTGGAAATACAATTAAGTAGGAGCAGAAAATGAAACTTAAGTTTAAATCAAATCAAGAGGTAAAAAAAAAAAAAAAAAAATCATTATTATTAATAATAATAATAAATAATAATAAAGATAAAAAAAATATTTGTAACAAAAAGGAAAGAGAAATAAAAATAATTGTCAATAATAGATAAAAAAGGAAAAATTTATTTACAGACGGGAGCCAAAAAAAAAAAAAAAAAAAAATCATCAGAATTCAAATTTCATATTTAAATATGAAATCAGGAAGCAAATTGCAAATAATGCTAAAATTTAAAAATTAATTTGATAATTTAAATGGAAAGCAATTTTGCTGACAAAGGAGAATTGAAAAAAGGAAAAAAGATTAAAGAACTAAAACTAAACAAACAATAATAGTTATAATAATAATAATAATAATAAAAAGGACTCCTTTGAAGGGGTCTGTGGGTGAAGCAGACAAGAGAGCAAAAAGCAGAGAGAGGAGGATGGAGGTGAGATTTGGGTGAGAAGTCAAGGCTTAGAGATTGGTGAATTTCCCATCAGCTGACAGGGTGAGCTGATATGGCTGAGGGTGCAGAACAGGCCACCAGCATCCTTAAAAGACATACATTGGGGATGAAGGCATTATTAGTGGGAGTTGGTGGCAGGGAAGGTGGGAGAGTACATGGCTGGGCTTATGTGTGGCATTTTGCAACACAGCCTGGCACCCTCGGTCATACAGGAACAAAACGTGCTGAGGTGGATGTGGGGCTGAGAGCTGGCCTTCTGGTGAAGATACAAGAACTGAAAAGGCAGGGAAGTCAAATAACACATCCGAATGGCTCAGGGTTAGGGCATCTATGAGAGATGTGTGTGTGTGTGTGTGTCCACGCACTCACACACAAAACACTCATATACACACACACACACACTTGTTTATATAACCCATGATATCATCATCATCATTGTCTGTTGTAGATAATTATTTTTTGCTAGTAAAAGTGCTGCTGATTTAAATTATTGGAGTGAATCCATTTTTAAATTTTGTGGTCTTCATCTGTAATTTCCTTACCTATATATATATATATATATATATAATTAATACAAATAGAAAGTTTGTCACTTTGGTATTGATTGGTATTACTTTCAGCTTTGTAGACAGATCCTCCAGCAATCACCCCGTTCACTCGTCAGGGGATATCAGCATTTAAATTATTTATTAAGCATTTGAATTCTAACATTTTCTCCATCTTTGTTCTGCTTATGCTTCAACATGTAACTAAATTACTCCTTTTTTTTTTTTTAAATCTATTATTGATGTGAATTATTTTGAAATCTTTTACTCGTTACGAATACGTTTTTATCATGATTATTTGTAATAATAATGTTACCTCCTGATCAGGTGTATTTGTGTATATATGTGCAATGTCTTGCTGAAATTCCTCCCAATCTAGATATTTTCTGTGTATTTAGGCAGCAAATGTTCTTTAAGGCAAATATTATTAAAGACAACAGGCATTTGTGTTGATTAATTTTAATGATAGACTTTTTTCAAATTATGAATAATCCTTCTCAGACATGGAGGAAATTCTGACATGTCGTCTGAAGTTCATTTTGGAAGAAAAGTACATGAAATATAGTCTAAGCTTTTGACTTTCTTAAGTCATCATCAGTATACTTAAAGATAAATGGTGAATTTTGTGGAACTATATAAGAAAAACACAAAGCCATTAGTAGAACCAACTGACAACTTGCCAAAACCTAAAACTCTTAACCACATACAGTCTTGAATAAAAATGACAATACTGAAAAAAGAAAGAAAAAAAAATGCTTAAAACTTATCTACTCATTAAAGTGCTCGAAGCCTAGAGCAAAAAAAATGCTTAACAACATTAAATCCTATGAAAGGATGGCTCTATTCATGACTCGAGTTTCACACACACACAATCTTCAGATTTTTAACATTTTAAACATTATTTTCAGTTGATACCCATATTTGAGTAGACACTCCATTTATTTATTTTCATCTCCTGATCAGAATGTTCAAGAAACTTTATCAAAGAAAAATTCATGCTCTTTAGCAGTGTCCCTCTGAGTAGAAGAAGCTATCATTAAATCCGATATGCTCTGACCAACTGAACTACAAATTAGTCAAACAAGGCCGAATTGCACCTTAAAGCAAAAACTTTTCTCCTAATAGATTTCCTGGAATTTTTCATATCTGCAGTTTTGTAACCAAATGTAAACAAAGCAAATTAGAATGGATTTTTTATTAATCCAACAGATTTTTATCACTTTAGATGTTATTTTTACTGAATTTTTTTTTTGAATAGATACTCCATTTATTTATTAAACAGTATATTTATTTTCGTCTACAGGCCTCACACACAGACACAAATTGTTTTTAATTATATTATGATATTGAAGAGTTTATTAAAAGGTAGATATTAAAAACTTTTGTTCATTCTAATAGATTTAATTTTGGTTTTAATTAAAACAAAGATCATTATTGTTTACATTATTTACATTCTGACTAACATCCTCATCTGTTGTCGTCAGTGCAATGCTTCAGCCACTGCATTCTTTAGCCTTCTTTGGTACAATAGCAAAGAGGATTAAAGTGTTGGTTTATGAATTTGGTAGAAAAATAATTGCTAGTTCAATCCTTGGGCTGGGTAGTAGAGATGTAGACTGTGGGAACAGAGCAATAACTGAGCAGTACTAAAAACTGGACATCCCAAGACATGGAGGGTGAAACCAGAATAATTTACCACCATAGATTAAATAAAAGGTTCAGTTCATAATTACCTAAAAGTCGTTACTTAGATCCAGAGACATGTGAAGAAATGGCTGAGATAATTTGGCAATAACAACAAAGATGCAGATATTAGTCTAAGTGCAAAAAAAAAAAAAAAAATTCCTCATCCCCAAAATTCAGACAGAAATCATAGTTGGATTTTAGCAACGAATGCATGTATGAACCTGGATATGTTTTTAGGCTTTTCTTATTGCAAAACCCACTGACTTTACAGTCACTCCAATCCCTATACTTAGCTGAAGCCATTTCCTGTAGAAACCAGGCAAATAGAAGAAAAGAAAGTTGATGGCAAACAATTTTGGACTTAATATTTATTTCTGCAATTTCCCCACGCTCAATCTATGTCAGACATTGAAAGTTAATAAGGCATAAAAAAAAGATAGGAAGAAAAAAAAAATTAATTCTATCACTAGCCTGCTTACAGAGTGAGATTAATCTTTAAGATAATAAAAACATGCTTCAGTCCTAAGCAGCTTAGGGCATCAAAAAGAAGACTCCAGTGCTTGAGGATCATAGTAGTCAGTGTAAAGAAACTCAAAATCAAATCTGAGCCAATTCTAATGGACTCATAAAAAGAAAAGAAAGTTTCTAAAGTGTTGTGTAGGAACCTACCACCCCTCTTGAAGATGAACTCGTCTACAAACAAGGACGTAAAATAGTGGCATGTAAAAAGACAGTGTCGGAGAAGTTCTGGGCTGAGTTAGTTATAGACTACTCAGGCGATTTCTGTACCAACTTACCAACCGAATAAACCCCATTTTATTGTTACATATTATTTGGCGTTTGTCTTTATTAACCCCAAATTAACATCATAACATAAAGTGACAACAATTGTTTTTTTTTTTTTTTAATTTTTTATTTTTAGTTCAATTACTCATAATAAAGAATGATTTTCTAAGCATAATTTAGATGTGGTAGAAGGCTGAAAGGATGAGGCATCCAGTGGGGATTGAACTCACTCCTCAGTCATAAGTGATTTAGTAAGACAAGATTGCTAATCATTACACCACGTCAAATGTCCAATTATTATTAATCATTGGGTTCCCACTCCTGGTTTTTTTAATAGGAGTAGAGGTTTATCCATTGTTTCCCGTTTAGTATCGGGTTACCAGTTCTTTCTAAAGTCTACTTCAACTCTATACTTCTAATGTCTCTGCGTAAACTTTGGAATTTTATTTACTATTTACCCCCACCCACACTCTTTCCAACAGGAATAAATATGTTTGCCTATCGCCCGGTTCACACTTCTCCCCAGTCTTTTTAACAGGAATAGTGTTTTATCTCTTGTTTCTTGTTCAAAATTAGGTTTTCAGTTCCTTCTAAAGTATTTTCATTCTCTTTCATTCCCATAATCCCTTGCATCTTAGTGGCATTATCACATTACTTGAGATGAACTGATTAACAAAAACAAAATAACAATTACCAAGTAAATATTTATTGAGATGACAGAGGAAAGCCACCTCATGATGGTGGGAAAGTGACTGATGTTGAGATACCAGCACCTTGTGTATGTGCGTGTGAAGCCCTCTAACAAGTGAGCCCAGTCCACAAGAACTTTTCAGCACAACCATTCATCAACATTATACTCAGAAAAGTATTACCATCTTAGTTGTTACTTTTGGCATATAAAATGTCCCTCAAAGTTGTTGCATTGCTAGAAAAAAAGGAAAAGAAAAAAAACAAAACAAAACTCATTTTCAATGAGTTGTTGAACTGAATGCTTGGAAGCAACCATTTTGAGAAACGTTTAAACAATTTCTATTTAAGTAATTTTTGGCATTTAAAAAGACATCACAGGGTAACATTTAATTCTGTTTGAAGGTTGATTTTCATGTTTTTATAATGTCACCCTTCCGAGTATCAGTTGTCATTTCAGGTTCTGCCTTGTGTGTGCTTGTAACAGCAACATATAAACATAACCTTTAATAATCCTTTTGCCCAGAATCAAAAGAAAAATATGCAAATGTAAAACAGCATTTTTTTTTTTTGTGGTGAAAAAACATTAATTTGGAAATTTTTGCAAAAATCAAATAATTAGCAGATTTTAATGAAACTTTCAGGACTTAGTCACAAATGAATGAAATTATTTTAGAAATGGTTTTAAACAAAATCTTGATAAAAATTATATATATATATATATATATATATATATATATATATATATATATATATATATATATACACACACACACTACATCTGATATCCTCCACTTACTTAATTTTATGAAATTTCAAGAAATTAATTTCTGTATGTCTTAATGTTTATATTAGTTACACACAGAACTCGTGAATTGAAATGATCAAAAAAAAAAAAAAAAAAAAAAGCAATAAAACTAAGACCTAATTTTTTTAAGAAATGGCATTAATTGCTTTTATATATATATATATATATATATATATATATATATATATATATATATATATATATACATATATATATAGATATGTCTAAATTATTTAAAATATGTTGTACATTTGGAATAAAATTATAAATAAAGTGTTCAAAGTTCATATTTTACTGCCTCAGTCATTATCAAGAACTGAATGTTATCAGTGTTATGGATAAAAGTTTTGTTAACTAAATCATATTTTGGGAACATTATATTTGAAAATTTGAAAAACTAAAATAAAAGAATTAAAACAGAAAATCTTTGTTGATCTAGTTGATGCATGTCTGTGTGTGTGTGTGTGTGTGTGTGTGTGTGTGTGTGTGTACATTTGTATGATCATGCTGGTTATCAAGCATCCACCCCAACCCCTGTAAAGTCAAAAAAAGCTCCTGAGCAGCAAAGAAATATTTGCCAAATGCACAAACCCCAAGGAAAAGAGAGAGAGAGAGAGAGAGAGAGAAAGATTGGGTTGGGGGAGGACAATATGACAAATGCACGTGTTCTACAAACACTTACAGTTTATATAGAAGAGAACCCCCCCCCCAAAAAAAAAAAAAAAAACAGTTATACATACTAGAAACTAACATTGTTTTTCCTTTTTAGTTTTGAAAGTGTGTAGGAAAGGCTGAATGCTTCTTGTGCACTGGAGAAGTAAATAATTCTAGGCAAGGATTTTAGCCAAATTAACAGATTAAATCTCAGGCATATATAAAGGAGTTAAAATTTCAGCCATTTTCCATTTTTAATCAAATCCCCCCCCCATACACCCACTACATCAGCTGAATGAAAGTGGGGTTTGAGGTAGGCATTGTTAAACCACCAAATTCCCTGCCATCATCAGTATACAAGAGTTTTGAGAAATATGGGTTGAAATTTGACCTACCCTAACAAGGTCATGCTATCCAATGGAGATCAGGGGTTGGCGGCCCAGGATTTAATGATGATGGAGAGATCATTTGCCAAAATGTCTACCCACTTCAGACAGGTCTGGTTGTGGGCAGAACTGAAACAATGACAGTTGCAAGTCAAGAACAGTCATCCAGGGCTGACCAGAAAAATAGAAGGGGGTGGGAGAGAGGAAGAGAGAGAGAGAGACACACACACACAAAATACCTAAACCTATGGGAAGTGAAGTGAGGCTTTGAACTGGCTGTTCATTTTCAAGAATTTTACTTGTGAGATAGGGAAGAAAGCATTCCCTTTCAGTTTTTAATGAACAGCTCCCCTCACCGATATATTCTGGAAATCTACAAAACTTAAAGTAGTAATAAATATTCTGCACAGACTCTCTCCCTATATATATATATATATATATATATATATATATATATATATATATATATATAAATAAAAACTTCAGATGTTATTATAGTGGATACTTTGTATTTGAAATAGACACTCAATTATTAAACAGTGTGTATTATGCATAGATGATGCTATTCATTCCAGAAAACTTAGTAAACAAAACAAAAAAAAAAAACCTGAACCGGCAGGGAAATTTAAAATATTAGTTTTAAACTCAGAGCATCTTGAAATTTCACTGCATTTTTTTTTTTTTTTCATTTTGCTAAATAAGATTTTTAACTGACTTCTGACATTCATAACTCCAAGAATGTTGCATGTACAGATTTAAAATTTGGTGACAATAGTTAATGTTTATTGTAGATTAGAAAAATATAAACTGCTTAGGTGTGTCTAATGTACTTTTATTTTTATAAAGACCTGAAAATAGCCATAATGCCCAAATGCAAAAAATTGCTGCCCAGTTTAAGAGCTTCTCAGCTTACTAAGTATGTCAGATACAGAATTCAAATTAGTTTTCTTGTCATTTATGACCTAACAGATTATTTCCAAACAGTAACTGTGTTCATTGCTTTTATAGGAATGTCAGGGTTTCTGTTTGAAAATTGCTCGATATTTTTTAGCATTCTTAAAATTGTTTATTTTCATGACATCAGAAGACCAGTTTGGCAGTTTAAGAAAATATTTATATTTTTTACTATATATTTTTTCCTTTCTGAAGATCATGTGAAAGATGTTTCATTTTGTGGACAAACTTCTATCAAGGGTTAAAACATTTTTCTAGAAAAGCTTGTTATACCAAAATCATAGTTTTGTCAAATAAATTTGATACTTAAGAAAATATGAAGCTGAAAGTCGACACCCCATAATTTCCTATGCAATGAAACTATTTCGGGTTTCATTTTACTTTTGTTCCAAAGAGTTTAAATGTTATGGGCCATTAAAAATGTATTTTTTTTTCAGATGGTCTACAAAATATTTAACTCAACAAAGAAACTCAACCAAGAAGATTAAAATAAAGATTCTATTAGATTATTTTAATTTTAAATAAATCAAGTCAAAATAGTGAAAATACATTGCCATATCATCCATGTTAAGCAATTTTATCTAAATAATGATAACTTCTGATCCATAAATTTAGCATACTGTATGTTGAGATTTTCACAGTATTGATGAAATTATTGCTAACATTTTTTGTTAAGTTTGTTTTTACGCCCCCCTCCCCAATAAAATAAACTGTACTTTGTAACCCTTTACCAGTTTGCACTTCTCTCCAAATTTTGGTTTCAATCAGTTGATGTTTGGTTATTTTAGAGGGGGTGATGGATGGACTAACAGAAGTCACAGAATTTTATATATAGATGAAAGGAATTGAGTACATTTTAAATATCTACCTGAGATTAATTTTCATTCATTGTGAGTTCAATACCTGCCCACAGCAGAGGAAAAAAAAAAAAAAAAAAAAAAAAAAAAAACTTGGAGAGTTATCAAGGGGAATTAAATGTAAACTGAGATATCCAGAATTGGTATGGCATGTGGAACTAGAACAATCTACCCTACGTAGACTAAATAAAGGGTTTGGTTTAAAATTCCAACATATATATATATATATATATATATATATATATATATATATATATATATCAATCACCTGGAACATTGTGAATATGGCACTAAAGATGTGGCCAACAGCCTGAATTGTGTAAATAGTTACAAAAACTCATGTCAGAAATATAATCAGGTCATTAGTCCTGACCTGGAACCTTAACTTCAGTCACTTTCCCACCATCATAATGTAGCTTCCCTATACATTATCTATAAATATTTTCATGGTAATTGCTCTGATGAGCTTTCCTCTTTTGTTCCTAGACCTTAAGAATTTACGCATACTATTAGATTCATGGCAAGGTCTTGTTATTTTATAATTGAAATGGATCTATGCTAACAGTTTCTTCTCTCACAAATTTGGCTTTTGGAACTCTTGTTTCTTTGTGAACACATGATGGACAGAGAGCATCAGGGAGAAATTCCATATATATTCCTCTTCTCCCCTACCACCACTCCTTTTAGTAAACATATTTAAATGACATTTTCAATTAAGGCAGAATTTACTCACCGCTAGGACAAAAGTTACGACATGGTGGGCCGATTCCATTTCAGAATTGACGGAGACTGGCCTCACTGGAATTTTCAGCAAGTACAGGTCTTCAAGTTTGGCAGCATTCTACAGAAAAAAAAAAAAAAAAAACATATATATATATATATATATATATATATATATATATATATATATATATATATATAAAATAAAAGGGGTGTTCCAATTACTTGGACTGATTTTTAAATATGAATTAAGTTTAAGCATCTAATGATTTTTTTTTTTTTTTAGATTTAACAACTTAAGTCTTTGGCAATTTCAACCATGGAAAGATTAACACTCAAACAAATGTTGTGCCCCCCCCAGCCTTCATCAGGCATATGGTGATTCAGGTAACCTGCAGAGAATTTTAAACTGAACCCTTTATTTAATCTACAAGGGTAGACTGTTCTCGATTCACTGCTCATAGAACAGTCTAGCCCTGTAGATTAAATAAAAGATTTAGTTTGGAATTTCCTGTAGGTTACCTGGATTGATATATACCTGATGAAGACAGGAAGGAATAACAGCCGAAACATTGTGATAACAACAACAACAAAGATGAAGACAATAGTCTGCATGTCAATAGAGTAAATAATGATAACTCCTTATACCAGAAATCCATAGAGATACTTAAGCCAGTTTGTATTCATATTTTAATTATAGCAAGAAACAAAATTACAAGTATTCTTTAATAGTAAATCATGGTTTGGCTTCGTTTTTCAAAATGAAAATCAAGAGGGATCTTTAAATGTTGCTTGCAGGCACATGAAAACAGTTGGTGGACGCAAATGTCTCCCTGGACTTTTTAGGTGTGCACTGAACTGACCCCACCCTTTTCACCCAAGATTTGATCTGTCATGGACTAGCAAGCTCGGACGATGACAGTGAAGTTCCCGGGCCGTAGGTTTTACAGTGTCCTTGTCTTAGCCGATGGCTAGGGGAAAAAAAACAAAAAAAAAAAAAAACACAAAATTTGGGTGTCCAAGACTCCCACGGTATTTATGCTAGATGGTTGTTGAGCAAAATGCTTCTTTCACCCTTTTGTCAGGTCTATAATCCTGCAGGGTAACTAGCCACCCTCCTTACAGACACTGTGGAGGTACTAGTTTAGTTGCCGATAATCTAACTATAAAACAGGTAGTAAATAGACCCTTGTCATGAACCTTAAATATCCCAAGGAAACACATCAACAAGAATTGTGAATCCAAAATTGATTTACTAGGCAAAAAAATGTCAATAGCAATAATTCCCCTCAACAGGTTGAAATTGAGTGAGGATTTATACATGGATAGAATTTAGTTGAAAAAAAATAAAATAAATGGAGCTCAGAAAACCATGTAGAATTCTTTTTGTTTATCACTTCAAATTTTATTTTTAGCGGATACTTGTATTTGAGTAGACGTTCCTTCATTTATTAAAAACAGTATATTTATTTATTTTTGTCTATCTGCCTGTATGTTTGAGAAATCTTATTAAAGAAAAATTTACTTCTGCCAGGATTTGAACCTGCATCACTCTGGGCAGAGGGAGCTACCATTAGACTCGGCATGCTCTAACCAACTAAGCTATAAAGAACCAATTAATCAGGCAAGGCCAAATTGTGCCTTAAGATGAAACTTCACTCATTATAGGTCTCCTGAAACTTTTCAAATCCAAATGTAAACAAAAAAAAAAAATCTTTTCTAAGTCTTTAACATTCAGGCTGGTAGATGAAAAACAAAAATTTCATCTATATATACCTTGTCTCTTCAAGAATTTGATGATCATGGCTCTCCACAATTTTAAATCTTTTCTGCTAATCATTTACATAAGCTTGTTAAGTAGTTTATGCACTTTCCTCTTGCCTTCAATATGTCCTGTGAGTATCAAACTTTCCAAGCCCTCTTTCCTCATGTATCCTATAAATTTCAACTCTCTCTTTCTGATGTTAAGTATAAGTGTCCTTTTTGTTTTCATTTTTTTCTAAAACTTTGTTGTTGCACACGTTTAGCCCATGGTATTCTCAGCATCCTTCTGGGGTTAGCACTATATTTGAATATAAAGCCTGTCACATAATCAACTATTAGAACTACTATTAGAACTACTTAAAAAGTAGTAGATTTCAAAAAACTATATCTCATAACCAGTAGTACAAAGTGCAATTATTGATTTGTTTTGTTCAGTTTATCAGCCTTTTGCATCTTATTTAACACCAGAAAATATTTTTTTAGATTGTAAAAATTTTTTTGAGATAATAATGGTTTTTAGCGATACAAGCCTTACTAATTAACCCATAGCTGGGGAGTGAGAAGAGGTGGATTCATACTTTTCTCAATGGTATCTGTGCATAAGTGAATCTAACAAACCCAACTGGAATTGGCTCTTTGATTAACAATTCTGAGCCATTATCCATTACACCACCCACACATCCAAACTTACAGCACCTGGCATTTCTAAGAGCTCACCCATCTAGTACTGACCAGGCTCAATGTTGCTTAACTTTGGTGATCACATGGGAACCGGCCAAAGGGAATTAAAGTAAAATGAAAAAAACTATTTTAATCGAAATATGGGGGATCAGTATATAACTTGATTTTAAAATATAACCAATCCCCAACTTTTAGTCATCACTAAAATTTTCATTTTATTCTTTGACAGTTCTGGATACCACATGCTGCTTTGGTTCTTATTGAATCTAACACGCAGAAATTAATAAAGCCAAAAAAGAAGCCGAGATTTGTTCACCTTCAATTTCCTTTTCTCTTCTGCTGTCAATGGAGATGCAGGGAAGAATTGAGCTTTGTTCATTTTAAATGAACGGATCACGATATTACCTCTCTTAGAGAATGAAACATCTGCACCTGAAAATGAAAAACAGAACATATTACCTCTCTTATAGAATGAAACATCTCGACCTGAAAATGAAGAACGGATTCTGATGTTACCTCTCTTAGAGAACAAGGCTTCTGGATCTGAAAATAGAGCAAAATTAGCTTGAAGAGAAAAAATACAAGATGGTATTTAGAAAGCTTTTTGCTTATTAGTTAATAATTACCCACAACCAGTTCACCTTTATTCTTTCCTTTTCAAAAAAATGCCAAAAACTTAAGGCAGTTGGAATCAAATATCTGACACTTGTTTATACAGGGTGTGGCAGAAATACCTCTCACATTTTAAACTGTTACCCGTGTTGTGCTAGTGAACTTAGGCTAGTAGCAAAGGTGTCTTCATCTAGCTAATGTCTTACCAATTATGTAGGAGGTATTTCTGCCACACCCTGTATTTTTTTTTTCCTTGGTTAATCCAGAGCAAAAGCTAACATATTTTAATGCATGAAATCTGAAAAGAATGCTTAGTTACTTTTTTTTTTTTTTCTAACTAGAAACTGGAAAACTTTTGAAGGAGTTAAATTTAATAGCGATTTTTTATTTGAGAATGAAACCACTTCAACCTTTCACTTGAACACATGTTGCCTTGATTCTGTCCTAATCTAAAATTTAGGTACTGACCAGGCTCTATGTTGCTTAACTTTGGTGATCATATAAGAACAGGTGTTCAAAGAAAGAGAAAGTGGCAACTGTATAACATCAAAAACTGTTTACACTATTTACATTGTTCGGACTATTGTCCTTGTCTTTGTCATATTCACACCATTTCGGCCATTGTACATTTTGGCCTTCTTCAGGTCATACACACTGGAATTTCGAACTAAATCCTTGATTTAGTCCACTGGGGTAGATTGTTCTAGTTCCACATGCCATGCCTTTTCTGGATATCTCAGTTTTCTATTTAGTAACTCAACTCTCCATGTTTTTTATTTTTTTTATTTTGGTTCACCTATGCTATTGAAGTCACAACTCTTTGGGTCAAGTCACTTTTTGGATTACTTCAATGAATGCTTTTATCCACTGGGCTATGTGCCCTTGTGTTGTGACTATAACAATAAAGATAAGGACAGCAGTCCGAATAGTGTAAATAGTTATAATACCTCATCTTACTAATATAGACATCAAAAACTGGCTTGTATTCCAGATTTCTTCAATGTTTAATGAAATTTAAAAGTAAAATTAAGTGTTGGAGTTTCTAGTCATTTGTACAGGCAAAAAAAAAAAAAAAAAAAAAAAAAATAAATAAATTGTTTTACTCAATATCTACTTCAACTCTATAATTCTAATATCTTCACCTGAACATTGAAATTTTTTTGACTAATTATTTAATTATCTTTTTCCCCCACTTCTTTAATAGTAGATAGGTTTTCCTATTATCCAGTTCACACTCCTCCCTGATCTTTTGAACCTAAGTAGAGGTTTATCCCTCATTTCCTGTTTAGGATTGTTTTTTTGGGTCCCTTCTAAAGTCTATTTCAACTCTATACTTCTAACAACTCCGTCTGAACTCTGAATTTTTATTTACTAATTATTTATTTCTTTTTTTCTTCAATAGGAGTAGATAGGTTTGCCTATCATCTGGTTCACACTTCTCCCCAGTCTTTTGCAGAGAAGTAAAGGTTCAGCTCTTGTTTCCTGTTTAGAATTGGGTCTTCAGTTCCTTCTAAAATCTTTTCATTCTCTTTCACTCCCAGTAGCCTCCCTTGCCTCTTAGTGGCATTATCCCCTTGCTTGGGGTGAATTGATTAAGAAAAAAAAAAAATTGAATCAAAGGGAAATACAGTGAAATTTTTAAATTTAAAAAAAAAAAAAAAATTAAAAAATAAAAATAAATATAAAATAAATTCAACTCTAAATGAAAAAAGACAACAAGACAAAAAAAAACAAACAAAACACAAAAAAAGAAAAAAAAAAAAAAAAAAAAAAAAAAAAATTCAAAAAAAAAAAAAAAAAAAAAAAAAAAAAAAAAAAAAAAAAAAACAAAAAAAAAAAAAAAAAAAAAAAAAAAAAAAAAAAAAAAAAAAAAAAAAAAAAAAAAGAAAAAAAAAAAAAAAAAAAAAAAAAAAAAAAAAAAAAAAAAAACAAAAACAAAAAAAAAAAAAAAAAAAAAAAAAAAAAAAAAAAAAAAAAAAAAAAGATTAAACAAAAAAAAACAAAAAAGGTTTGTAAAAAACATAAAGAAAAAAAAACAAAAAAAAATAAAGAAAAAAAAAAAAAAAAAAAAAAGACAAAAAACAAAAAAAAAAAAAAAAAAAAAACAAACAAAAAAAAGACAAAAAAAACAAAGGACCAGGGGAAATTAATATAAATTGAGATACAATTTTAAAAACTCATTACTTTTGGGACAAAACAATGCTACAGCTAACAAAGATTATTGCTACAAATTAGAAATGGAGAGAGGGATTTATTTGATCTGTAACAAGAACAGTTCAGCACTTACCCACTGCCATAAGGTTGCTTCTGTGCCTTTTCTATAAATACTTTCATGGTAATTGTTTGGATGAGCTCTTTGCTATGGTACCTAGATTGTATAAATTCAAGTGCAGTAATAGACCAGCGTCGAGATCTCATCAATTCACAATTGAGCTAAAAGTAGCTGTAAGTTTTATGCTAATAGTTTCTGTTCTCGCACTTTTTGCTTGCGGAACTCCCTTCCGATTCCATACTTTCCAGCCAACTTTAATCTGCAAAAATTTATATGCAATGTCAATTTCTACCTGCTGTCCTCTTGATTATTCTTTTCTTTCACTGCTCATTAATGTTTCTGTTCCTAATTCTTCCATACTCTGTAACCCCGTGTGTTTGAGCGACTTTACTGCCTTCCTTGGGATGATACCGATAAAAAACAAAACAAAAAAATAACTATTGGTAGAGATTTCAGAGCTTTACCAAGAGTACAGGACAAAAATATAAACAACAGGGTGACTGTCCACTAAGCAACTATGTTTGACTCATTAATCACTGAATATCTTCAATGAACACTCCAGAAAATGTATCTTTGAGCATTAACATTAGTGTTAATCTGGCAAAATAATTATACTTTTCTTCTGCATGTTTGTATGTATGATAATGCTGCTTTTCTATTGAGGATCAAAGCATAGCATCTGCAGGATTTCTGACCTTACTGAGCTGAAATCAGTTCTGAGAAACCAACGCGTTAAGTCTGAAAGAATTGTATATATTAAAAAAAAAAAAAGAAAAAAAAAAGGGGATATCAGAGAAAGTGGATGGAAATGGGGAAAGAGAAAAGGTTGGAGGTAAGAATTTAAAGAATGAAAAGAAAAACCAGGTGAAAAAAGAAAAAAAGTGTGAATACTAATGTCAACACAGAATGACGATAGTATGTATCATGTTTGAAGGCAATCTTCAAGCTTGAAAATTTATACCGAGTGCTCTATAAAGTGTTAACATGAGTCAAATTTTCAAGCTGGTCACTTACAATGAGATATTAAATAGTTCTTTTTTTCACTGACTTCAGATATGTAAATGTGGTTTTCAACCAGATTGGAAATTTTAAGGGGAATTGTGACCATAGTCTGGTAGAGTCAAACTTTTGGAATACTGAACTTTCAATAAACTACTGTATATACTCTCAGATAGGTCAAAAAAAATTCTTCACTATCAAACATCATTTTATGGTTCAATAATTGATGATTTACTGTTGAGACAGATAAATCTTGTTATAATCTGGGAGACCACAGCATTTTTTAAACCTAAGAATTATCAGATATTCATCTTTGTTTGAAAACTTACAATTATTAATGGACTTTTGCAGTTAAAATACATTTCGTCAATCATCATGTAAACAAAGGGAAGTAACTGACAACCTTTTCTGAAACTTCAAATTGTCTTTCTACTGATTGATTTCTATGTTCTTCTGCATAATTTAATACTTTTAATTTAAAACCTACTTCATAACTCTTTCTCATGATTAGAGTTTGCAACAATTAAAATTATAAACTATAAATTTGGTTACCAACTATATTGCTGCACAATGCAAAGCAAATATTTTGGTTACTAGATTCATACACTTTGTTATTTGTAAATAACACTTAAGAATGCCTTTTAATGCTACATGAAACAACCATTAATGAAAATTATCTCATAAAGAATATATTTAATTTCTTTAAGTCATATTTTCCAATGTATTTTTGAGAAAATATATATATTTTACAGAATGAATCATGGGACTATTTTTTCTTTGTCAATAAACATCTAGATGTGGTTCCTTAACTTATGCATGTTCAGGGTTTCTATATCAGTCTAGTTTTAGTGTCTTGACTGAACGGTGACTGATGGATCTATGAATATTTCATAATTTTATTTATTTATTGTAATGGATATGTCAATCTAGTAGCATGAGGTAAGTTTAAAGCAGTGAGTCAGTATATATGATAGATAAATTGTTTCTATATAGAGAAAAACCACAGCTTTAGGCTTTATGGGTATCATTTCTGATTTCTCAGAAATCATGATGACAAGGTAGAGTTGTTTTACATTTATGTCGAACGGATAGGTCCCCCCCCTAATATTTTGTGAAATTTTTGGTAAAAAAAGTGCAACCTATCCGTGAGTATATACAGTACAATTCTACAATGCATTCTTGGATTTATACAATCTTGGAAGCAGTGAAATACGGCGAAAATAGGGAATAGATAAAGAAAAGAGTTGAGAACCACTGGTTTATAGAGTTTATAAAATATGGTCTTGTGTCAAACTTGGTTAATAATGACAACTCATGTGTCAGTTTTTTTTTCTTTTTATTGGATAAGTCATGCTGTGCCAAATATATGTTTTGGGACAACTCATCATAAGTAAAGAAACATACTGCTAGGTACAAGGGAATTTGATTAGTCAGGCAGAGGCTTAATTTGTGGTTGCTGGTGGGGAGTGGGTAGAAAGTTCATGCAAGTAGGGAAGGAACAGTCAACATCATATGATGAAAATCAACTGAAATCCTGGCTTTTATGTCG